TGGCACAGAACCATATTCGGAACGTCGACCTCGGTTCTGTGCGGCACGGCGGTGAGCCCAGCTGCCTTTCAGGGCTGGCCCCCCGAGGTCGTGTCTGAGCTGGGGCACCTTCTGTGTGGAGTCTGTATGTTCCCCTAGTGTGCTTTTACCGTGAGCTCCAGTTTCCCAGCTCACAGGTGTAGTGTCTGGCTTCACGCAGTCCCACCACGCGGGGGCGGGCGATGGATCTAGCGATCCGTCCACGGGGTACAGTACCGTCTCCTTCAATTGATTGTTTTATAGTGCCTTTCACAACAAACTTGCCCCAGGGCACTTAACAGAGCTGCGTGACAGTGCATGACAGTAGAATCCGGAAAGAGAAAAGGCCAGAAGACAACGGAGGAGAGGAACCATAAAAGTCCTCTGTAAGGAGAAAAAAAAACCCGCTAGGGGTCCAAGCTGCGTCCAAGCTCAACTGGCTGCCCACCCCCTCTGGGCACGCTTACACTGTGTTCCGCGGTTACTGGAACTGCCCGACTGGTTTAATGTCCCGAAGGAAAGTATTATTCAGAAGCGCACTTTTTCAAAACAGTTTCTTTTTCTTTTTTGTCAATTCTGTTCGCTTTATTTGCAGCGGGGCTGCGAGATGCGAAGAGCAAACATTTCCTCCCCCCCCCTGCACCTCTGAGGACGCGCAGGAGCACAGATCGTGCGGCCCAGCCGGGTCGGTCACGTGAGGCGCTTCATTAGGGAGACCTCTGGAGCGCGCCCCCGACGCACCGCGGGGATTCTGTGCTTCTTTTGCGACGCCAAATTGCCAAAGCAGAAGCAGACAAATCACGAACGGAAAGAGACAGTTTAAACTCTGAGCTTTCGTATGACTACGGTTGGGGCAAAAGGCATTTATCACTGGCTCTAACTGGGTCCTGATTCTGGTGGAGAATTTCAGGTCTGATTTAACCGAGATAACCGAACCCACCAGATCAACAGCTTTCACAAAATCGCAGGAACTGCTGGAGCGCTGGAAAGCACTAAACAAACACATCCATGGTAACCGTATCCCAGCTGGGAGAATCGGCAACTCTCCCTGCTTGTTTGTCCTTTCCGATCTCATTTTCTCCTATCTCTGCGCACGGTTTGCGGGTCAATGTAGACTGAGCAAAGAAAAGTCTCATTTTAATTTTGAAGCAGCAGCTGACATCTTTAAGGAGGCCTTTCATAGAAGACGGGTAACGGTTACAGATAACAGGAGCACAACCTTGGCGCTGCATCTGCTGGCGAAATTCATTGCTCCCAGAAAAAACACGTGCTTTCAGAGCACAGAGTGTACAGACCTCAGGGCAGTTGTGTTACCATTGCAAACCTGCTCTTGTCAGATCTCAGAAGTTAGGCAAGGCTGGATCAGGTCAAGCCTGGATCAGGTCAATCAGGTATAGGAGAGATCCAAGACAAAAAGGTTGCTGCTACAGCTGTTATCGGTGAGCGCCAGTAGGCGGCGCTCTTCCCTATTGACCAAAGGTTCCAGACCACCCATCCATTTTCTAACTACTTTTTCCAGTTCAGTGTTGCTTGGGGACCAGAGCCTATCCCAGGAAGCAACAGGTATAAAGCAGGACGCACCCTGGACCCAGACTGGACATCAGTCCATCACAGGGCACACACACACACACCTAGGGACAATTTTCCCTGAAGCCAATTCACTTACCAGCATGTTTTCGGACTTCGGGAGGAAGCTGGAGCACCTGGGGGAAACATACATGAACGCAGGGAGAACATACAAACTCCACACAGCCAGCACCCCAGGAATTGAACCCAGAGCCCTAGCACAGCGAGGCAGGAATGCTAACCACTGTTCACCACCCAACCCCCCCGATTTAAAAAAAAATACCCCCACTGACTGTAGGAGGTGCTGTCCTTCAGATACAACTTTAAACTGAGGATCTAAGTACAAGATCATGAAAGACCCCACAGCCCCTTTGATGAGTTGGGACATAAACACCAGAGCCCTGTCTTCATTCCACTCTGGGCTTGCACCCACCGGCCTCCATAAAGTTCGCCTTCAGTTCAACTGGCAAATCATGGTTGATTTGAAGGAAGAAGTAAGTTTTATGCATCAGCACAAGAGAAGGACAATATTGCCTAGGTGTGTTGCATTGGATGGTTGCTTGTGTTTTTGTGTTTTGAGTGACATTATGTCTCGGGATCTGGGTGTGAAATAAATCTGCGTTGCTGACAAGGCGCTGTGAGCAGATGAAGAGATACTGATAAGCCACAGGGAGTGCTCGGCTCAGGAGCACAGATCCCCTGATGCCTTGCAGATTCTGAGGCTGATATTATTTGAGTTTACTGGGAGGCTGAGAGCAGCAGTGTGTTATAAAGTTTGAAACGAGTCTTCAGTATTGAGAAATTGCCGCTGGATGCCTGCCATTCCAAGTACTGAGTAATCTGATCGTCTATTTCCTAACTCTCAGAGTCATGCTGGCCTAATCACTCCAATTCCGATGAAGACAAAATATGAGATCATGACATGTTGGACTGTAGGGTCTAAAGGAAATTAATTCTGTAATGTCACATCCTTTCCTACCTGGGAGGATGTATAGGCTTTATAATTAATTTATAAATAATTACACGTAAGTGTGCATTTCATATTTCACAAAATCAACCTAATATTGTACCGAAAAGTCTTATATTTTAGCTAACACATGAACACCATTAAAAAGGAGTGAGAGTGATTAAGACAGGGAGACCTTATTTACTGACAAACAAGCAGATGTCTTGTTATTGAACAACACATTTTCACCTATTCTTGAGGAAAGAAAATGGGATCTTCTGTTCACAGCTAGACAGCAGACAGTCAAGCAAAAGCACAGAAATGACTACACCTTGGTTTTATCCTTCCAATCAGTTCAAACTTTTAAGGCAAACCCTCTGCTGAAAGCTACTGTCCTCTTGGTACGTGGACAAATCAAAGGCGTATTACTGTACCAGCAGGCAAACACAGTCTGGAGAGCATGTGTCTCAGGGGTGGCCGAGTCAAAGCAGGAACACAGTGGAATATTAAGAGCGCGAGAGAAGAAGACTCAGGAGAATCAGAGAGAA